TAAAAAAGTCACACCTTTAAGCAATGCCACTGTGCTTGAACACAAGCTAGAGGCTTGGCTGTCAGTCTCATAATAATTACAATATGTGAGGGCAGCATGTCTTCCAAATCTATATTAAATCTGTGGGTTTCTATCTTATTGTGGGTTTTAATCACATTTTTACAATGACAGTCAAAATACGCTCTCCATCCATCTTCTTAATAATCAGCAATGCTCTTTTGTCTGCTGAAGGATCTTTGGTTTTGCCCACACAAGCCCTAAAAGTAGAAAACATGATGCAACATGCTATAAACTCCTGATCATACCCATCTACCCACTGAAAACACATCATTTGCCTCTGCTGAAACAGCTCCAGACTTGGACAAAATGAAATTGTTAAGTGTACTAACACTTACTAATGAAAGAAAAACACTGAAACCTAAGATCTTCCGCCTTATATCCTAAAATCCCAGGGATCCCAGATCAAACTTTAAAGCCACTGAAAAAAACCAGCTCTGCTCAAAGTCAGTATAACAGTGATTACTTACCACCTTTGAAAATAAGTCCTTAAGTTTGTTTCAAACAGTGTATAAAAAACACGATCTTCAACTCAGAGGAAGTGTGTGTTTTTTTCATTTAATACAGCAAGAATGACACTTTCAGAACTGGCTTCAGTTGATGGTATTTGAACTATGATCTTTTTGTCCTAGAATTCTTGACATACTTTCTAAAGCCTCAGAAGTCCTGGGTGAGCACATCAGTCTGTTCTTTCTAATTAAAGTCCCTGTTCTTCAAACACCTTTCCATCTTTCTCTAGCATAACACTGAGCTCTTCAAGTCTCCCACAAACCATTATCTGCAGAAATTTTCTTGTCCTCAGTTACAGAACCTCATTCATCTCTCTTCAAACACTTTTAAACTTTCGCAATGCCGAATAGAAGACAAGAACTTCCACAAGGTGTTCAATTGTCACTGGTTTTGCTCATCCTAAACCTAATCACCTGTGTGGAATTCTGTCCAAACCTAGACAGATACTCACAAATTAACTAGCCACCTTTAATATCATAATATTAATTATAAAATAAAACAAGGGTTTAAATCATGATTTAAATGTCATTCTGAATTATGGGAAAAACATACCCTAAAATAACCATTTATCTCCACCAAGTATAGAGTGAGATCACATACACAAAGCTGTTCACCTTAGATGTAGACATCGAAGGTTAAACAAGGTGAATTCTACTCCAACCACCACATTCGTGGTCTGTAACTAGGATCAGAAAGCTCTGCAGAGGTATTTTCAGGTAACAGAGCTTGTTAAGTTATCTGAGTAAAGGCTAAGGAAATTAAACACAAAGCCATGGCAAGGATCGGCAGAA